TTGTTCCTTAAATCTACTAGTAAAGAATTCTGTTATTTCACCAGCAATTTCAACCTTTGATAAAATCCATTCTTCATTGCTCCTTAGATAATCTCATTTTACACGCCAGTATTCTCCTGGGCATATTTCCCTTCACTCACCGTAATCTTTAAATCCTTCCAAAGCAGAGAAGGAGACAGGAAAACAAACAGGAAACAAGCAAATAAAAAAATGTCACACTGTGGTTAAAAGTTAAAAAACTAAAGGTGCGTCTTATGAGACAAGAGTTTTATTTTTGGCTCCTTCAAACTTTCAGTGTCATCTTAGCCAAACTGCAACATCCCTGTACCTCAGTTTTCTTAGCTGTAAAATGGAAAACATCAAAACCGCACAGCCCCACAGTGCACTGGAAATATGAAGGCATTAGTATCTGTGAAGTATGTGAAAGATGTTATTGAGTTCAAGGTATTATTTCAGAAAACAGCAAAATTATTTTACAATTTGCCTATAAACCTGCCTTCGCTAATTCTGTCTCTTATTTTCATTGCACTTTTCCTCTACTGTACATAGAGGATCTCTGGTACTAAGTCCATTTAAATGACTGTCTCCCGCATATCAGTCCTAACCCTGCAATGAATTATAATATCTCACAAAATGATGTTACTAGGCAGTATCCAAACAATCGGGGTAGCTTTACTTCAAACTTACTATCTAATCATTACAATGACCTTATATTTAAGTTATCTTGTGTTTTAGGAAAAAAAATAAAAATAGTAAGAGCCCTCAGACCATGGGACCAAAGAATCCAGAGAGGCTTTCAAAATTAAGTCTGCGTTCAGCATGTCTGGAAAAGAACTTCTCCTGCCAGCCTTTGTGAATACTTTTTCCAACTCTCTGAGATCTTGAAGGATTCTCTTCCTTCCATCACAGCCCACTGGGGTGTCCCCTACATGGGCCATGACTAAGTTTATCCTACCAGAAAGCCTACTCTGACTCATTACCGTTTTTTTCTCCCAGAGGCAGACACAGCCCGGAGCTTTCCCCAGAGCCCTGAGAGGCGCCCGCCCACCGCCTCCCAAAACAACAGGCCTCTCCCACCTCGGGGTGCACCGCAGGTTCAGCCCCATGGGGAGAGCGTGCGTCAGCACCAGGGCGATGCCCAACCAGGCTCTGCTTCTGCAAGGAGTGGCATGGGCAGAGGTGCTCCCCACACCTCCCTGCCCACCGGCTGTGAGGGGGATGCTTTCGGCCTTCGCTCCCGGCTCGGGGCAGGGTGCAGCACTCTGAACACCATGGCAAGAGGTCTTATGGACCACAGTGGCTAAAAGCACCGTATGTCACTGGCTCGAGCAACAAGTAGCAACAGCCTCAGGGCTGGTGGTCAGAGACATGCTTGCAGCTAGTACCTGAAGGTTCTCTGCTGCCTGAAGAATTACAAATCCTACGCTTCCTTTTGACCTCCAAAGCTCTTCCCCGCAAATATACATTCCGCCCCCCACCCCCTATCATGATTTCAGGAATGAATGAAGAACCCAACTCCTTCAATGGGACTCATCCTGCTGATTTCGGTTCCAAAGTCCTTAGGCTTTGCCTGTATGGTTTCAGTTCTATTTTAAAGGTTTAGGCAATCTTAAGAGCAACCTCAGCTACTTAAACTATGTTAATTTGACCATATTCATCTACAGTTTGCAGGCTCAGAATTCAACATCCACAGTCAAAGATGACTCCGACTACTCAATCCTTTCTGTATTTTTTTTCCCCTTTTTTTTTGGAAAGCAAACCATCTCACAACCTTCCGTACTACCTTTTTGGCCGTTGTGATTCACCCAGCCAGATGTCAGACTTTCAAAGTTGGACAGCCAACTGAAGAGTGGGATGACCAAACCTATTCCAGCGAGGAATCTCAATTGGTTAGACTCATTGTTTGTATTAGGATTTTCCCCTCTTAGGTCACAAACAATCTGCCAGGGAACTGTGAATGAAGGTACATGCTGGCCTTGAGACAAAACCACCCACATTAAGTAAATTTAAATTGGTGCTTCCTCCAGGAAACAAAGTGTTGTATTACTTACAAGCAGATTTGATTACGGTTTAGAGAATTGTTTAAATCCATTTAGCAGATCAAAGGAAAACTGATTTAAACTGATACGCTCATTGTTTTAACAAACAGTAGTTGATATCCGATGCAAAGATCAACACACTTGATGACTCCCATGTAGAAGTTTAGTGAAAACATAGGCCATAGTAAAGATGGAAATGTCAGATCTCACCATTTTCTCAAAAGATCTTCAGAATTTAGCTTTTAAATTGAGGCTAAAAATAGTCTTACCCTAATATTTTTGATATAAAATCAAATTCATGAAAGCAATACCATGAATAAGCTCTCAGTACCATGTTGGCCTGTCTCTTCAAGACCATAAAAATACCGATTAATCTCATCGTCAATAAGACACCTAAAACCTTTTCAAAAAATCACAGCATCAAAGATGTCTTTATGCACATTTGTCTACTATAGCATCCAGCAAACATGCAGATTCATACAGCAGCATGCAAACAGCCTAGCAAAGAAAGGGTTAAGACAAAGAATATCCTCAAAGCAATTCCAATAATCCCTCTAGATCATTCTGTTTGTGAGAAGTATTCTAGGTGGAAAGCTGGACTAGTATCAGCTCAGAAGTTGTTGTTGATCTGACATATGCCAAAGGAACCTGCAAACTGCAAAGAGGAAGTTGCTAGTTAAAAAAAACCCAAACATGGAGCAGAAGGCTCATGTTAAGAATCAGTTGGATCTCCTTTATTTTCCAGAAACAATTATTTTACCTTTAATTTTAGAGGGGCTTGGGGGGAAAAGATTGAAGGAAATATGGCTCATTTTAGCAAAGCACATATTGCAAAAAATAAATTTAAAAATCTATTTTTGGGCTAGAATGGTTGAAGAAATCCCTGATTAGCCTTTTAATGGGGTGAGTCCAATTTAGTGAGAATGATCACCAGAGGGAGTCATTGACTTTCCCATTAAAGTCAAAGGGAATTTTACATACATCAGGAGTGCAGAATATGGTGGCAGAGCTGAGAAAGCCTCCAAACAGACTGGAGTTCAGGGACTAACACAAAACACTGTTTTATGGATTTCATCTGAATCCGTTTTCCCCTTTAGTGTCCCAGAGGATGATATTCCACGGTGATAGAGAGAAGGCACCAAAGTCATTCACTCAGTGGGTACACACTCCACAAAAAAAAACCCCAAAAAAAAACAAAACAAAAAAACCAGCACTTAATTCATTTTAAAGTGGTTTGGAGCGGTGTAAGTACTAACTGCTCAGTTTTCTCTTTGGATATGCAATACATCACAGTCCTTCTGGAAAAGCAATTTTTAACAGCCCAAAGAAAATCTCCAGGTGCCATATATGAGTATGTCACACCTCTTGGGAATATCAGGACTTCAAACAGGAAAAGAAGAGTGAAAAGGAAGAATTGCTAGTATGTTTTCTGGCTTGGTTTGTTGGTGGTTTTTTTTTTTTTCTTCAATATTAGTGACTAAAAGAGGTAGAGAGGATTTGTGAACCAAGTGATAAAATGAACTAAGTAGATGAACCCGTCTACTCAGCCATGAGCAAGTGTATGTTTCACGCTCAAATACCTAAATTTCATAACCTTCAAAGAAACATTTTCATGTTTGAAACTGTGCTTTTCTTTGCTGGACTTCAGCTCAACCTTGTTCTTGCCACAACAGCCCAACACACTTTGGTTCAAAAAACAGCTCATTCGCTAGGCAGCTTTCCCCTTAATTCTGTACAATAAGATTACACAGCAGAAAATTCGGAGATTAAAAAAAGGGAAGCAAACAGCCCCACCTGACCAAATGCAATTTCACTTCCCTGGAAATGTCCTTTGAACAAATGGAATTAAATTTGTTTCTGTTTTCCCAGGTAACAGCAGCACTTTGTTTTGCTTGTTTATTTAATTACTTCTTGTTCATGCAATTAGCTGAGAGACTGGAGCCTTTTGTTCATTATGTTAACCATAACACAGTTATTTGCATAGCTGCTTCCATTTTGAGGCTGAATTTTGGCTAGGGGCTCTATTTTGGGCTGTGGCAGGCAGAGAACTGCTGGGAAGCCCTCACGCAGGGCAGCACGCAGCAACGTGCTCCTTCGCAGAGAGACTCGCTCCAGGAAGCGCACTGGCTGCCCATCTGCTTCTGACGGCAAATCAAAGCCCTGTCTTCAACACGCGCTGCAAAGCACTGCACGGCTTATAACCTGGCTGGCTTTCGTTGTGCGTACCACCAAAAAACAGCCAAGTTCATCTGAAGGCATTTTTGCTGACAGGCTGTCCAAGCCTAACTTTACTGCCCTTTAGAATGGTACAAGGCATCACTTTGGTCAACGCATGCCTGACTTAAAATTATCAGTACCCATATTGTGGTTGGGAGAAGAAATTTAGAGATGAAGACTACTTTAGGCTTTCTTTCATGAACAGTTTGATTTAACAGCCAGCCGAGTCTAGTGTTGTTGTGATGCTTAAATGAGTTGTTTCACAGTTAAATCTTTTTTTAAACCCTCAAGATATATCCCCAGATCACAAAGTTTAGCAGAATGCTGATCCCCTCCATTAATAAATGCAGCAATCACCACCCCCCAAGTCCTCTGAGTTTCTGGCACTGAACTGATGTCAGCTTATTTTTATCTAGCTTGCTCAGAAATTGAGGAATCTGCACCTTCTTACAGAAACGAGAGGCAGAGTCCGTGCTGGTGGGAGCCTGTATGCTCCAGTGCGCAGCAGGCACCTTCATCGCAGCCTCTGGGCATTGAAACATCCCCAAAACTCTACCTCTCAGGATAAACTGCACGCCAAATTACACTGTTTGAAATATAGAGAACTGGAACAGTCAGCCCGGAAAAACTGTCAATTTTTGTAGTTTACAATTCAGCGTTTATATGACCCACAGCTATGGGTGGTTTAATTCTGTACCAATTGCAGCAAGGCACAGCCTTTCAATGGCATAGTTTTAATCCTACCTGTGCCATCTGCCTCTCCAGCTTTGACCGGGGAATATCATCAAAATAGTTTTCATTTCTTCTTCTCCTTGCATCGCCCTGCATGATAATGTGGGGAACGTCCAGGGAGCCACCAGTAGTGAAAGTGCTTTGGCTAAGTGATGGAGACAACTGAGGAGGAGTGTGGTTACCACTGGGTTCCTGGACAGAGAGGAGAAAAATGCAGCATAAGAAAACCAGCATATTGCTGACTTCAAACCACTCATTTAAAAGGGTATTTGAATTATACATACTAAAAAAAATTAAGGAACAATTCCTGAAGTAGAGGCTACTGTGGTTGAACTTTTGAGATTTGCTACCTAAGATGCAGAGCCCATGCGGAAGGAAAAATAATTCACTATTTACATGAACTAGCGGCAAATTCCCTCTCCAAAACTTCTGTGTGCAATACACACTCCCTTGTAGGACTGCTAGAGAGATAAAACAGTGAGTTACTTTTCGTCAAGGCCCAAATAAAGTCATGATTTAGGACTAGCTATTTGTAAGATGAAATACGTTCTCACCACTTCTGAGCAGCCACTCTGAGCAGTGAAAGTGATTTGAAAGTGATCTGAACTCTAGCAACATCTCTTGCTGGAAAAAAGAAATGCACGAACATTTACAAAATATAGGCACTTTGTTTTCAATTTTTATAGGTCTTGCAAAATATCCGTTTAACTTGAAGTACTGGATATCAGAAACAAACTAAACAGCAATTCCTAGAATGCATGCAAGCATCAGAGTACAAATATTTTACCATGTTTTTCTTGCAATCTGTGCTGAACTGTGATCTTCTGTCAGTCAGTGTGCAAATACCACAGCGAACTGATAGATGAACTCTAATAAACAGCTAAACATGTCCTCCTGATCATGTATTTTACCAGAATCTGCCACCGCACTGCCCAGCCAGCCACCACAGGTACGTTTGGAAGCACCTGTTCTCATGCACATCACACCACTTGTTCGAACACCGATTACAAACACTGGTGCCCAGCCCCACCGTTCAACACCATCTTGGAGTTTACAATCAGCAGGAGCAGAGCCACAGAGCCCTGGCCAGCCGGTCGGCACACATATCACCCCAGTGTCGACTGTAAAACACTGTCATAGCAAGGGGATGGGGAAACATGTTCCTTGTTCATGATGTATATTTAATTTATCAATTATATTCAATTAATTAGTGTTAGTTCAATTTATCTGACACTAGAGATTTCTCTGATAGTAAGTTCTTTGGAGGCAGAAGGTACCCAGGAGTGCGCTTGCACAGTGCAGACCTTGTCTAAATTACCTACTACTGTAACACTCTGTTTCAATACTGAACAACAAGAAGGGATCCAAAATTAGAGGAAGGAAAAACCTGCTGCATGAAGAGTAAAAAACCTAGCCTTTTTAAAGAAAGAATTACAGTGGATACTTCATGCATGATTACACTGAAGCAAACCTAATTCTGAAAAGCATCAAGGTACTTTACTCCATGCCGTTAAGAAACAAGATCTGGTGTAAGAAACCAGAGCATTGTAATCTCTTGCAAATGGAAAGGAAAGCTGCAATTCTCTGTATGCACTCAAGTGATAGTAACATCTGATGTTAATATTTGAAGTGTAGGAGTCTATGTGACACTATTCCTTGCAATCACAGTAACAGACTTGTATTCTTCATGTTGGTTGACTAAAATCAGGGATATATAGCTGTTTAGCAACTTATCATTAACTGGGATTTTTTTTGTTGTTTTGTAATTCTCTAGCTTTCCTATGATCTGAGACAAGCACTTGACATTTCCCAAGGCAAAGGAAGGAGTGTTCTCCTCTTAGGAATAGTCTTCTTCCCTCCTTCACGAAAATCCACCTACGTCTGGCCCAGTTAAAAGCTTCTGAAAAGCTGTAATCTGCACACACTCAGAAGGTTTGGTGAGACGTAATGCCTAAAGCCTATCCCCAGCTCTTCCACAGGCCCAACTCTGACTAGATGGTGCAGACGCCTCTGCCCTGAAACCAACCCGAGTACAGCCCTCCAAATGAGATCCTTTCTAATGACTGCTGCCTGCCCCTCCATCCAGGTAAGCAACATCTCTCTGCTCTGAATCACGATTCACCCACTGTTCGTAGACTGACAGGGCCATCAGCGCATCGAAGTGATGGATGACCGTGCAAGGGATATACGGATTCCAGCTCTTGTCGAGCTTTTCATATTTTATCAAACTGCATATAAAGAGGAAATTCACTCAGAAATCTATATTGGAAGATTGCTGGCAAGGCAATACAGACAAGAATTACAAAGTCAAGAAATAACAGAATTATGGTGCCTCTGCATTATGGAACAGTATGTAATTGTATGATTTTGTGCTATTTTCTCAAAGTTGTCCTTCACAGCACAGATGGATCCTCAACTGTGCAGCATGTTGTCATATACTCAGCACTGTGTTATCATTAGTTATCGTGTAGTCAGTATTTCATTCTCACCTCGTTTCGTGTCCCCAAACCCCTTCCCTAAACTCTATTCAAATTCTGCTCTGAAGATAGGATGACTAATATTGTCATTTTCATGATGCTCCTAAGTGCTTTACAAATGTCAATCAATTTATTTTCACCACACCTTGTGACTTCTGGCATTTTATAAACACCACTTTAGTGTGGGGGACACACAAACAAAGGTTAAAATATATCAGTTACTTTGGATGCCCAATTATAGTATCTATTGCCTGATCTTCCAAGCGCTTGTATTCAAAACTCCACTTCTGTTGATCTAATTTGCAGCACTGTGTGCTCAGCACTTGTATAAATCAGACTCCAGACTCCAGTTAAATATGTAGAATGTCGGTAACATACAATTAGTGCCTGCATATTAGGCAATTACCTAAATAAACTTACCAAGCGTTATCCAAGGGCTTTGTGGCAAAAGCAAGTATAAATCTGTATTTTCATAGCTAAAGCTATTCCTTTAATCATGAGTCTCTCTCCCATTCTTCCTTCATTCCTCTTCCTCACTCCGTATCCACTTTCTCATCTCCTGAACAAATCTGCAGACCAGGCGTGAATGCCTGTGCAGGTCCTATCATGTCCTCAGTACCGTGCTACTCTTCAGTCACCAGGTATTCGCATCATGCTTGCACCCTGTTGTGAACGCAGGGACACATGCCCTGCAGGGATGCTTGATCATATACTTCATTATTGAAATCCGCTTCATCCCCACCTCTCAGTCCTGCCAGTGATGTAAACCTGAAACCACATAGGTCAGGGCTGGAAGGGAGCTTAAGAGATCCTTCCCCAGACTGCCCGGGTGCACCTCATGCCCCACTGATGTTCGTCTAACCACGAATTCCTTGTGTCAAACTATCATTACTACTGTAATGCTGCTTCTCCTAATTTTCAGCCTAAATTGTTGCTCCTTCAGTTTACATTCCAGTCTCCAGCACTGACCAGGTGAGGATGAGATTCTACTAATAACATGGAAACTGATCCTGTAATTAAAGATTATAATGCACTCAAGGAAGGAAAGCAAGATTGCATAGGTAACTTTCCAGCATATCACTTTGAAATCAAAATAACTTTTCCTTAGTACGCAGTTATTGTGAGAATAACTGATTTTGTGGATATTTTTAATGTTTGTTGCTTTTCCTCAATATTTAACCATTTTTTCCCCTTGAAATATTTTTTATTATTATCTAATACAAAACAAGTTGAAAAATATGAAGTGTGAGCCATGCTTAGGTTTGCTGTGGGATCTTAAAAGTAGACTCTTTAAACAATTAACTAATTTTTTCTACTGATCTAGAGCAACCTGATTTAGTGGAAGGTATCCCTGCCTATGGCATAGGGTTTGGAACTAGATGATCTTAAAGGTCCCTTCCAACACAAACCATTCCATGATTCTATACAAATCAATCTTCCAGTATCAGCAGACAGTTTAAGTAAACCAATTTTCAAGCTAAAAATCATTGCAAATTGCAGACTAAATACTATGTCCTCGTTTCATGTGAAATGGCATAGTAGCAGTTGATGGAAAGAAAACCTTAATCCAAAATCATGTCCTTCTCTTTAGGATTCTATCAGAAAACTCTAATACCAAGAGGTAATGAATGACATTCAGCACTTGCCTGCATCAGTAGCTCTAGCTGTGGAGCAGCAGACTACTTTTTACCATTTTGACTACAGATGGAGGACATCTAGTTTTCTCTTCATTATTAACTTAGAATATACAGTCCTAACCAGTAACATGGGCTGTGGTAACTTTCCCACTTGCTGAAGAGGAACTAATTCCCCAGTCCAGAGCACTGAAAGTCTTGAGCAAAAACGTGTGACTTTCAAATGATTCCTCTTTCCTGAGAGTGTTTTAACACCTGCCATACATCAGGAATCCTTCACATAATACATAAAAAACAAAATAGAAGAAAAATATCCACATGTTTGTGCAATGTGCCTTAGAGCAGGACGTTATAGACTTGTGGGATCTTTTTCAACGTGGCATTAGGAATAGGCTGAATTTGGGGGGGTGGGGAGAGATCTAAAATGTCTATATGTAGCAGCTGAGAATAAGCAGGGTGAAAACAGGCTGGTCAGAGAAATTGTAAGTGTATGTAAAAATAAGCCCTCATTCTGTCTTTTTCGATTTCTCTTTGCACTAGGAAATTTAACTTGGGAGCTCAGACACCCTCTGACATTTGGAAATTTAGTCCCAAATGAGATTCCAGGCAGAAATGCAGCCCCATGAAAATAATCAGATCCAATCAAATGCAAAAGGTGTGACCTAAAGTATCAAAATAAGAAGTGTTGATATGAACTCCCTTGGAGAGAACACAGTAGGGATGGGTCATCAGAACATAACTCTGTAAGGGTAATGGACAGCAAGGAAGGAAAGGCATTGGAATGGAGAAACTGAGTGAAGGTGGGGTAACGAGAGGAGATTAAATCTAGTCAAGTGGAAAAACCCCAGGGACATTGCAACAAGGTTTCTGAAAGAGGGAATACAAATGAAAATTAAAAACGTGATGAAACTTTTGATACGCAGAAACATCTTACTGGCATTTGTAGCTCGGCACTTTCAAAAGGCTCTCTAAAGAAAGCATAAAGCACATGTCTGAAAAGTACGTGCAAGCATTTGAACACATGAAAGGGAAATGGTAACGCTCCTTCCGCAATATTGATCGGCTGGGCTGGGATTCCTGAGGGCAAATGTAGACGTCCAGCTTGTATGCACCTGCTCCTGAGCTAGTTTCTCGACCAAAGAAGATAAGCTTGTACTTCTAAGATACTACTTACTTCATCCTAAGGTAGACATTTGAAACAGGACACATGAATCACCCTGTAAAAATGTCAATTTATCTCCGCTGGCTATATGGGGAGGTATGATTGAGCAGGTCAGCCTAAGATGTCTACACTGTAAACTTCTGAAGTGAGGTAAGTTGAACCTCATTCGAAGCGGTCATTTTGTTTTCATGTGAATGTATGAAACACTTGCTGACTTTTCAAGAAATGCAAACAAATTTTCATGGGGACTCACCCTGAGGGTTATTGACCGAGGTGGTTTCTGAGGAGGATCTTCGTGAAGCCTGTCTCCCAAAGATGCCAGAACGCGCTTCCGGTGGCCAATCAAGCTAATTTTTAAGACCTGAAATAGTAACAAAAATATCTCATTAAATAGAACACATTGCTATCATTAAATGAAGATCCATTCAGAGTGAAGCCATTTTCTTTTAAACCTTTTAGCAAGTTAGTCCCCTACGCAGGCTAAGCAGACAGAGCAGTGCAAGGCAATCAGCAGAGAAAATGAGAGGCAAGCTCAAAGGGAGGAAAAGCCCTGCAAAATAAAGGAAGAAACCAAAGCAGGTATAGATGTGGAAAACTGAAAAAATATAGGGTCAAAAATGAGTAAGCACGAAAGGAAAATGAAACAGCAAGAGAAAGCAGCAGAGCGGGAGCAAAAACAAGGGAAGGAGACGAGGAGACTGGGGAAGGAGACGTAGAGGTGCAGGCAAACAGCGCATGATGAGGACTAAAAAGATTCATGGGATGGATGAGGAAGAGAGCGAGGAACAGCCAGCAAAAGCTTAGAAAGGTCAAGAAAGGGGAAAAGGAACCACACAATGAATAAATGCTATCATTTTTAAATCTATTCACCATGCCTTTCACGGGTAACCTTCAAATGGCCCATACAGTTTCCATTATCGTGTAGAATCATCCTTGCTAAGCAACACAGGACAGACAAACTTTGTCCTGGACGTCTATTACTTTCATCAGATGCAATGAAAAAAATCTCTGTTGCACACAAACATGACCATCTGTGGACAGGTTCAAATACTTTGTGCTTGTCCAAACTCCAAGACCACTGCCAAAAAGGTGTTCCAAATTTACTGAAACTGCTCCCCACTTGTATCTCTCCATGTCCCTGACACATACAAAACCACCACTGCTCTCAGGAAAACAGAGAGGGCAGAAGCAGAAAGCTGAAAACCTAAGCATTAACGGGGAAAAAGAAAAAATCGTATTTCTATGCTATTCTTTAATGGCTACAATGGCATTAAAATGTAAAGCAGCCCTAGGTGTAGAAGCAAGCCTCTGCTCTGTGAAAAGCAGTGTCCTCACGTAACTCTTCCAGACTGTATATATGGTTTCATACACCAGAGCTGCCTCCATTCCCTCTCAGAAAGCAGTACTTCCCACTATATTTAGGACCACCGTGTGTCAACACCCTTCAGTTGAGAGGAACTTCTCACCCAACATAGAAAAAGTAATAGTCCCCAAAAAACCCTGAAAATGCTACATCTTAAGTGAACAAATACCTCAATTCATGAGAACAAACAAAAACCAAACCCCAACAACTCTCCTACGGGATCTCTTAGAACCAATACCTCAGGTTATGGTACAGCAACATGCCATTGTTATTCTGGTGGGTGAACTCCTGCCTATCCACGGGCATGCGAATTCATCCACACTTCGTCCACTGGATCTCTGTGCCATCTAATACTGCTGAACGTCAAGAACATCTTGTTTGCCTGCATCTGCAAAGCAATGGGCTACGACATGGAACAGACTGAGGTCTTCCCTGAGAGGCAGCTTACAGGGTTGTTGCAGACCCTGCAGCTCACCAGCAGACCCCAGCTACAGAGTTCCACAAGCCCGCTACGTGCTCTCCTGATATTCTAAATCTGCAGAAGCACGAGTGAAGCTGAGATAGCGCAGCACACACAAAAATGCTGGAGGCATGCAGGAGACTTGGTTACGTATTCAGTTTATGTTGAATGTTAAACAGAGGGTGCACACTTTATCTCCATATTTAACTATATGAAACACGTGAATGAACTACAGCTGCTTTAAGCATTACTCAGGTAATGCAATTCTGTGAACTTGCTTCTTTCATATTGCTTCCCTATCATCAGGAGCATTTACCCAGAGAATTTTACTTCAAGCTAGAGTTCTTGGGTTGTTTCAAGGTCCTCAGCACTCTGACTGCCTTATTAGCTATATCAAACCACACAAAGCAATTCTCTTTGACTTTACAGAGCTGTTGAACAACAGAGAAAAAAGGACGTGAGTCTTGAGGGACTTCACACTTAAGAGATCTGCAGACGGGTCTAAACAACTGTATTATTTCAAAAACTACTCAATTTGAAAGCAATACAGATCTTTGAACACCACAAGCGCTGTACAGCTTAATTGCAGTTGGTTTTTCTACTAAAATAGTGGTCATCCCAAACCTGAAGTGGTAAGGATTTAAATAAGCAACCTACAGAAACATACGTTCCTCAGCCAACCGTCAGATGTAGCCCAGCCTCCTCCAGACTGCATACTCTGTTAAGTGAAGATGGCTGTATTCTTCTGGAAATGGACTCCCTAGTAATCTTCTTACTTGGAAAACCTGTTACTTAGCTTAAAAATACAAAATACTGTTTTCTGAAAAACTTCTATATCTGGGTTATGAGAGTTTAAGAAACACCGTGAAACTCTGAAAACTTGTTCTGCAATGGATTATCCCCAACAGTATTTATCAAAAATGTCAAATATGACCAACATAGGTCACCGGTGCGCAACGGTAAAGTCGCCTAAAGCAGTATCTTAGAAATATCTTAATGTTGTGTATCAGATAACCACTAAAAGTCTTGCACTTATTTAGCCCACAAGTTAGTTCCCCATATCCCAGGTAACACTGAACATGCTAACACTGAGCTACAGGGACAATCAATACAATGCACCTAAGTGCTATGCAGTGAAGCACTTTGTTCAACGGATTGTAGCCCACTTCAAACATAACAACGAAACGAGCTTTGCAGTGTGGCTGCAGGAATCAGCTACAACATGTCATGAAACTGTTCGGAGCAGTTCAAGGCCCTCCACAGCCTGTTATTTTGTTAGCGGGACAAAAAAAAAAAAAGTGTGTATATGACATGCCTCTTTCCACACCAACGGTAGGATACTCGAGACAAAAATAATGCAACTTCATATCATATTTTCTTATATTTGATGCTATAATACAATTAACGGCTAAGGAAGCAAGTCATTTGTCCAAAGAAATGAGATATGCACACAAATTTAATCCTATTTTTACCTCTATATTCTCCAGTGATTAGCATACAAAATGAAATTCCACTAGGAAATGTAAGAAATCCACAAAAGTAACCAATGCAACACTTCGCATTTAGATTTCTGACTTAGTTGACAGATGTTCTAAAAAACAAACACATGTAGCCCAGTAAGTCCCTGATGACTGTATATGTGCAGATGCTGGAATTAACAAGTTATTCCATCTAAAACCAAGTATTATTTCTGCAACGTTCTTCTGCCTGATCTTTTCTTCCAATTGAATAGTATGATCCAATACTGTATTTTTACAATTATTCTACTTTTAAAAAAATGGGTATTATAAAGACTACTGAAATTCAAGACATCAATTCGATTTCTTTTGGAATAATCTGGAAGGTTACTGTATGGGCTAAAATCAGTGCCATAATAGCACAAGTCGTCTGGACTAAGCATGTAGTAGCAATCAGACACTAGGAACTCGCTAAAGTGGAAAAGTAGAGAGTGATCAGAATAGTACTAGTGATTCTTTGGCAAGCAGCATCAGCTACTTCAGAATTTAAGAAGAGAAAATGGTAATACACGCCAACAAGGTGTGATCTTCCTATTTGCACAAGTAAACAGCCACAAATGCTGGTTACATTCAATTTTATTAACCATTTTACTGCTGCTTATGTTGGAATAAACTCCAGGGTATCTGGAATTGCAGGTGAAGGATACACTGATTATTACTACTTTCCTGTGACTACGCCGCCCCGCAGGGCTAATCCTACAACATGGCAGTGCCCAGAATACGCAGGAAGAGAGCCCAGACCAACCAGTACAGCTCACCTCACCATCATGACTGGTTTAACTGGAAATTTGAAAAAGGATTAAATACACTTGCTACATGAATTCCCAGCATGGACAACTATTAAAAATTTTACAAATCCTATACATAAAACTGCTGTCAGTGAACAACAGTTACAGAAAAAAAAAAAGTGGAACCCCCCCCACCCCACATACTGACCATGATTACATAGTGTAACAAATGGCATATTTTGAAAGATAAATATGCCTGAGTCAGCTGTGATATTGAATGCCCGGTGGCTTACTAATACCAGACACAGCCAAATCCAGTTTACACTTCTGTTGCATTTTTCACTTAGGGATACTTTATGCTCTTACTCTTCCGACTGTAACTGCTGATTCCTTCCAACTCTAAATTATCACAAGCCCTTGCCATTTTTAACAGTGCAGGGCTTTTCCTGTAAAGCCTGGACTGCCCACCGAAGCGCAGGCATGTGAAAGCAGAGAGGCTCCAAAGCCCCTGCAGATCAGAGACTTGCTGCAACTCTACTAGAGGCAAGACACCTCTGGTTTCCACACCTGCAATGGAAGCAATCAGTCTTTATGCATATGAAAAGACTTCTAAGAGACTGACGGTTTCATATCATAATGATATGAAACATGCGCCATTATCCCCTGAATTAATTACCCAACTGGAAACAGATGTCAGTTGTCTTGGTGACAGCGCTTCACGAAGACAGATGGCTGCCTAGTAAGTCCCGCTTCTATACATTATTGTGATGAACTGATGTTTATTTGTGTGTGTGTCCCCCCCCCAGTATATAGTTTAGTTGCAGATCTCCAGTTCAATGGTACCGAGAAATCAGAGGCCAAAAGTCTTCTCCAAGTAAAGGTAATTTTGAACCCTGGTTGTACACCCCTCTGAGCTGCAGTGCTGCACATTACTGCTCAGCCGTTGCCATCCCAGGTCAGATTCAGGCACATGAGGATTTAATAGTTTTTGCAGAAGTTTGCAGGATAGCTTTTGGTACTACCCAGGCCGCTGGAATTTTTGTCCTGACTTTGCCAGAAAAGCCATTTTTGTCATTAAACTGTTTGCCAAATTCTCATTAGTTTAAGAATTGGCTGTCTGAAAATCTCAGGTGCTAGTATTTCTGGCTCACTAAAGATTAAAAAAAAAGTGACTGTGCTTTTGTGCTTGTAATTGATAAACCTTAATATCTCAGTGAAAAATACTGATTTAATTTTTCATTAACAAAACCCAGGAAAATACAGTGAAACAAGACCTGACCAATATTGAGACCT